CGCTTACGCTCTTTTAGTACCTACCTGCCCATGCCTGGTAATGAAAGAGATGGATAACGCTAGCCTTCTATTATTAGGTTCATTCCTTATCTTTTCGGAGTAAAATCTGAAAAGTGTCAAAATGCAAGAGCGTAAGCAAAATGCGCCCACTAAAAGAGAAGAACAGGAAAAAGTAAAGGAACGCAAAAAACCATATTTTTAGTCCAAAGAGTGGCAACAACAAAACTAACGTCAAATAAGAATAGAAATGTATGTACAAAAACACATTCACACAAGCACAAGCACAATAAACACTATATCAATTATTTTTTGCTTTCTTCAAATTTCAATTCACTTTTTTTACTTTTTAGATTATTCTCACTTTTTGTGTATTCTATAGTTTCCGTTTATTTAAATTCAGTTCAGTTTGACACTTCAAGATTTTGCCAGCAAAAATTCTTCTGACTACTGAAGAGAGTCACTCTCACTGAGTATTGCTCTCTCATTTATGCTGTCATTTTCGAGTTAAGGAACGCTTTTTAGACTACATCTGACTACTTCGGACTTTTTCTAACTATTTCTGGGAAATAAGGAACGCAACTATTAAGGGTCATTAATTTAATTAGCTGGCATCTAGAAAAACATGACGGGATAGGTTCTGCAAAATTTTAGTGTACGTGAAGCAAACCGAATAAAGAATCAAGTCGATTGATGTGAATGTGATGATATGGTCTCCAAATGAATGCAGCGTATACGAGTTTAGATCGTATAAAAGCTGAGTAGAAAGAATAGAAAGAATATAAATTTTAACTTCAATGTTGCTTTCAAATGAGCCCTATCTCTAACTAAATAAAAAATAATTCTACGTGAAAATTAAATTAGTAAGAAAGACTTACGTTACAAATAGTTCTGCACCGAACATACTTGGATAATTAAGAAGGTCGAAGATTCTCGAAGAAAACCAGATTTTTCCATTTATCAATCTGGTGGTGGATTCCGCGTCAAAAAACTTTTTGATATTCTGGACATTTTATTAAAAAATGGTGCCGACTTTACTTTTGACGTAGAATACGTCTTAAGAGTCGATATGGAGGCTATGCTCAAATGTTGCAGTTTAAATTATTAGATTTTCACGAAAACGTTTATTGCACGAGAACTAGTGAAGCAATTGCGAAGAGTGTGGCGTTTGAAATTCAAAATTCCAAACTTATCGACAGATACATTTTTGTAAGTAACCAATTCGCTTTCTGTCGTAGAAACAACGGTAAATATTGGCTTATTTTAGGGTTAATTTTGAGCCTTTAAAGTGCTCTAGCAACTTATGATTTGCAGATATAACTTTATTTTCGGGATATAGGTTCTTTGGAGCAATAGAAATGTTGTTGTGTACAAATTTTATATAAATTACACAAACATTGAGCATTTTAAAGCAAAAACTTTTGAAATTTGAAAAAATTTTAATTACCTAATGCTCGAAAAGCGCTCGAATGATCTTGTTTTTGTATTCTTTAATCAAAGACTCAAGTTTTTTCCTATTGTTTGGTTTGATGTTTATTTTATTCAAATGTATGGGCATAAATGATTTTTCATACAAAATCACTTCGGCATCAGTTTGTAAACCCGTGCATGCGCTAAGGGCCGGTTGTTCAATGTCTGGTTATCACTACCACTACACTATCGACGATTTCGACATGATGCATGTAACATGTGATCGATAAAGCAGCGGTTGTACTTAACCGGAACTTCTACTTCCGATTTGTGCTAATCAGACATTGAACAACCGGCCCTAAGTGAGAGAAGGACACAAAAAGTATGTGTGTGTAGGTATTTCGGCTTTTGAGTAAAAGATGGCTCAATATTTATAGCCTAATCGCAGCGTATGTATGTAAATACATACATACGAGCATATGTTGATTGCAGTTAATGTGGATCTGTTTTCTTGTAGTCATCTATTACTAGTTTATGCGACAGAATTCAAAAATGGTCCCGTTTATGCATAGTTCGTGAATTTATGAAATAAAGTGAATTCATGGTTAACTTTCATGTATAACTGAATTCATGAAATGGTGTTTATGCAGCCAATTTTAACCCAAATTCATGAAATGAATTCGTGAATTAGCCTACGCATAAACGTAGTACATATATGTATGTATGCATGTACGTATGAATGCATAATACGCGAAAATTTTTTTGTCATATCAGATCTGTACCTTTCATTCCATTTTACAAAATGAAGTATCAAATTAAAGGGCTTGGCCCGTGAAATTGCAATCACTTCTATTTTTTCAAAAAGAGTTGCCGCCTGATAAAAAATTAAAATCAAATTATTTTTAAGCTAAATCAATTATTACACTAGTACTACGTTTATGCGTAGGCTAATTCACGAATTCATTTCATGAATTTGGCTTAAAATTGGCTGCATAAACACCATTTCATAAATTCAATTATACACGAAAGTTAACCATGAATTCGGCATCATTTCATGAAATCGTAAAGTGCAAGTCCGGCAACGCCACGTTCCACAAACAGCTGTTTACTAGGGTTATGATGTTTTTAGATTAAAAAGCATGAGTGGCATATACAGGACTTACAACAATTTCAAATATAAAATAAATTCACATAGATTAAAATTAAAATATATTAAAACCAATTTAAATATAATATGGTTTATTTCCTGGTTTTCCAAATTTAAAAGGAAGCTAAAAAAGCCACAACCCTACTGTTTAGTTTCTCGCTAGTGCGCTGCCACTTCTCCAAAGCTCTTTATTTCATGAATTCGGGTACTATGCATAAACGGGACCACTTTTGAATTCACGAAATGAAGAATTTATGATTTCTGTCTCATAAACGTAGTATATGAGTATCGATCGAAATGGTTTTGAAAAGGCTTTATTTCTTAATTGTATGCTGATATGGATGTCAGACAAAGAGGTTGTGGTGGAAATATTTTGCAGAGGGTTGCCACCTTGTTACAAAGTTAGATTCAATATAAGCAATATGAATAAACTTTATTTCCAAACTGCATGTTGGAGGGTTGCTACCTGATTTTATAATTAAATTCAATTTGAATTAAGAGTATTAGATACATTGAATATCTATCACAATAGGTTTAACGAGGGTGTGGTTTAAAAATAATTTGAGCAGGATTGCCAACTGTTTGAAAAGTCGAATTAAATTAAATAATATGAAATATTAAAATATTGGCGTCAAACATAGGAGTATTAAGAAATATTTAGTTTGGGCATTTATAACATTAAAGAGGGTTTCCACCTGTGTAGAAAGTTTAACTCAAATTATTTAATAAGTCAAATTAATTATTAAAGTATGGGTGGAAATTGACATGGGTTAAAAATGTTTTCTGTGAAAGTTATTTAAGATTGTTGCCATGTGTTTTAGGAATGCAATTAAACTTGAATTTAGGGATTAGATACTCAATTTAAATATGTATCGCAATATGTGTGTCAGTCGAAAAAGATTTAAAAAGGTTTTGGTTTTAATATGATTTGAAAAAGGTTTCCACCTGTTTTAAAATTAGAATTTAATTAAAGTATGCATAAGTTAAATGAAATATTAAAATATGACGTGAAACGAAGGTGGTAAGATATCCTTAGTTTGAATATTTAGAATATTAAAGAGGGTTGCCACCTGTTTAAAAAGGAAAACTAAAATTATTTAATAATTTAAAGAATTATTCAAAATATGGGTATCAAATGAAATGTAGGATCAAAATATCAGACGCAAGAGATTTGTTTATTTCTTAACTCTATTAAGGAAGGTTGCCAGTTGTTTCAGAAGTCTTAGCCAACTTATGCGACGAATCCGAGGACGAAAATAATGCGAAGACGAGCACGAAAGCATCAAAAAAAAAATTTGAAAAAAATGTCGCTTACGTTATTTTGGCGGTTAGGGCTCGATATGATTGAATACAATACAATCAAAACGAATATTTCATGTACCGTTTTTAACTTTAATGTGATCTTAATAATATCACGTATTCTACGTTTAAGTTTAGCGGCTGTGACACCAACACAGCCCGCAGGCCATAACGAAGGCGCTGGACTGATCCTTTTTTTTTATTAACTTCAAAGTAATACAAGCAAATCGAAGAGAAGTAAGTATAATGCAAAAAATGGTAGTGGTTATGCTTTTTTAATTCTCATTAATTTAAACATGTCTCAGGATTAACTGAATTTTCATGTTTGAGAGAAAGAGATTCGTGTTAATATTTATATTGTCTGATACCTCAGAATATGTATGACCCAGATATATATAATCAAAAATCTGCGAAACCTGGGGAAAAAATTGTTCCCCTCGGTTTCGTTTTCGGCGATTTCAGCCACATGCTTTAAATTAATACAATTTATATATAGGGGCCCGTGATTTTTTTGTCCTGGGCCCGAGTTTTCTCTCGACGGCCCTGTATAAGGGTCACTATATTCTTTTGACCATCGCAGTAAGAGGTAGTGGACCCCACCCAAATCCTGGCCATAAATCGGGTTTCCCATTGTTAACTAATACAAAGGAGATATTTCCGCGTACAATGACGGTCTTATTACCTGCATACGGTTAACGGTCCTTGTGTAGGGTCAGTCGGAACTTAGCATTCGTTGGGTACAGTTTACTCTGCTCATGACTACGCGCTGTGTTTTCGACTTTTAATTGGTGAATTCTGAAGCTGGGAGTGTTTTGTGAAGAATAATAATCATGTATCCCAATGTAAAAGGTATGTACGATATTTTTAGATAAAATAAAATAAAATTGATAGCTCAATGGATATAAATTTGAACCTTACATAACACATAAAATTTACGTAGTGTTTTTTTTCACAATTTGTACTTCATTAATGTTTTACGTGGGTGGAGCTAACAGAAACAGAACGAAACCTTTATTATATAAAACAGCCATGTCCATAGTTATATAACCACTAAACAATGTTTTCCCTAGTTTTCCACTGTAATTTAAAAAAATATATATATGGTAGTAGTTTCATGATAGTAAAATTCTTGTTTTCTTTGTTACAGTATCTGATGACTCGTACAGAAGCTTTACTAGACAATATATGCATGATATGATGCGTGAGAGAAAGCGCTCAGAAGTATTTTGATGACAAACTCAAAGAGCTAGAGGACAATTTGTTAGCTTTGACAAAGTGCCCTCCAGAAAAAAATTAGAAATTTCGTCAAGTCATGAAAAACTTCAAACTCTTCTACAAACGCCACTGGCAAGCATCTAAGGGAACTGATAACCGCAAAACCATGGAAATAAGAAAACAAGTGCCTGTGGATGAACTCTTTTATGCAGCAGAAATGAGTAATCGCGCCGCAGAAAACTTAGATGTCGCCAAAATAATGCACGAAATTCAACAGTCATCGACCAGATCATCAATATTTCGCAAACCAGCCCAAAAAAACGGCCATGACTAAAAACGAGAGACGTATCCTGAAAAAAAGCATTCTGAAATTGCACCGGAAATAAAATTACAAGATTTGGTGAATAACACAGCTACGAGGCTTTGCAAATACATATTTGTACGATGTTTTGGAGATGTGTTCGGAAATCGAGAAGAGTAATTTGTCACATTTTTACAAATGGGGTTGGGACGGATCACAACAAACACAGTACAAGCAACGGTTCCAAAACTATGGTGTTAGTGACGTAAACGTTTTTAATTAGTTTCTGGTGCCCCTAAGGTTGACAAGTGGAACAAGAATCATTTGGCAGAATCCAATCCTATCCTCACCTAGGTTTTGTAGACCAATCTGAGTACGATTTACAAAGGAAAACGAAGGGCAAGCCAGAGCGTTTCAACCTACCTGCATTGGTGATGCTATAAAGACAACGCATACTTTGTTCCCCACTATGGTAGATGGAAAAGTCTGCAATGCAGAGGGTCAATTCCCGTTCTGCGTTATCGTGAAGTGATAAAAATAACACCTTTACACCGCATTTATTTCGGTGTTAATTTTATACTTTTCACTTCATTTCACGATAACGCAGAACGGGAATTGACCCACAGCAACACATACGAATTCAACTTTGAGATGCTACATATGTGGCAGAACTCAAAAAACATTCAATGACCTCACGACTACAAGTAGCGAAAATCCAGAGACTTTAAAATTTGGTAATTCGTTATTTCATGCTCCAATCAGATTCTTCGAGTTTTTGCTTAATTTATCTTATAAGCTTAAGGCAAATGTACACAAAGGCCGCCTTAACAAAGAAGATCAGCTTCCAATCCAAGCGGCAAAAGAGTTTATTCAGGAGAGTTTCATAGATAAAATGGGATTTCTTGTTGATATTTCAAAGGCTGGTTACGGTAACACAAATGACGGCAACACTTCTCGTCGATTCTTCAGTGATACAGGAGCAGCAGCTGAAATAACCGAAATCAATAAAGATCTGTATTTTTTAAAATATTTTTTATTGAGCTTTGTACCACGATTGTTTATTAGGAAAAAT